TTAGGGTTTGGTTTAGGGTTTAAGTATATAGGGGTTTTATTTGTTATGGGGCTTTTCGCTTCTAACTTGCTTGTGGGTTTTTTGGGTATGGCATTGCAGGGTCGGGGTATGGTGGTTGGAGAGACCCTGTTGACCCCATTGCAGGATTTTTTGTCTTCATCATGGCGAGCTTAAGAGCCTAACACCCAAGTGTGCGACTTGGGATGTAGGCCGGCGTTTGAGATATAGGGCTTAGGGTTGTAAGCCCTAAAACTTACGGGTGGTTGAAGGCCAGGCTCCCAACTCCAAAGCGAAGAAGACCAGCGCAAAATGGACGTGCCTGACAAGTAAGACCGTACCTCGATGTGTCCGAAAGTGTCCAAACCCTGAGGCAGAGGGAAAAGTTCCGGGACGAAGCAGCAGAAGCCGTTGCGAAGAGCGAGAAAAACCCTAAACCCCAAGCACACTCAACCCTCAGGCCTAAACCGTGACCTGAGTTCGAGGTCGAGGCGTAGCCTTCGCCTCAAGGTTTCAAAACGACCGAGCTCGGGAACCATCGAAATAGTTTCACTGCCTGAAGGCTCCTGGGCCTCGGGTTTAGGGCTGTAGCGAACAAGGTGGTCTGAATGGTGACTTGAAACATTACACGCTCGTAATCGTATTCCCTACTACAGTAGCATTAACTCAACTTACTATGATGGGCCTTTTGAGGTATTAATATGCCCGGAGAGACCCTGAGAGACTCTATATATGTATAAATAATGTACCCCGGCACCCTCTTCATGGTATTCAAGCCCTAGCTAGAGGTGAGTAAACCTTAAATCCTAAACCTGAAACCCTAAACCCTGAACCTTACACCCTATACCCTAAACCTTCAGCCCTAAACCCTAAACCTTAAACCCTAAACCCTTAAGCCCTAAACCCTAGACCTTAAACCCTAAACCTTCGAGCCCTTGAAGGAAACCCCAAGCTTGCGAGGAGACCACCAGGACCACTACCGAAGCATCCTGCCCCGTCGCTGCTCCCAACGAGGAGAGAGGATCTTATACAAGGTTGCTATAGGAGGCTACATAATTACAAGGACGATTTACATAAGGGGCTCCTTATTCTAATAATAGTATCACGGGCCCCAAAACCCTATTCTAACTATAAAGGCGCCTATGTTAAACCTATATCTTTAGCTGCGTCTAAGTTTGTGTCTGCGTCTATATCTGTATCTATGCAGGCATGCATCTACATCTTGATTTGTGTCTGTACCTATATCTAGACATGTGTGTCTGCTTCTGTATCTGTATTTAGAGGTGTCCGCATCCGCATCTATAGTTCTCTAATTCTAATTCGCTCCCGCTCGGTCTATGCATCTGTT